TTCAAAGAGTCATTGGCAACATTTGCGAGACTGATGGTAGGGTGTGCTTTTTTAGTTCATAAAGGGGCTTTAGCTGTCAAATTCATGTTCACCAATTTGACACAAATTCTCATACTTTATTAATAACATACTAAAATGTATATCCAAATTTTAAAAAGTCTAAAATAAACAATTTACGATGCACGGACTCGATAATATGTATCAGCATTTCGTGTGTATTTTAGTCTAGACGCCATGTAATTTACCATGGATATTACCTCCGAAGACTGCCGACAGTCATATTACCCAATATAAACAAAAATATAGATATAAATAGAAAGTGATTGTCCAGGTTTCATCATGTTCATATAATAGGTTAAAAAAATATGTCAATCATCGTTTTTACCTGTATAAGAATCGGTCAACCAAATGATTTACTCCTGTTTCACTTTCAATGTTGACATTTTTTCCCCTTTAATGGCAAAACACGCCCGAATCATGCGTAACCCATCTCAAGCTAAGGGGTTAAATTGAAGGTAGCATGAATACGGATTCAATGAGGTACAATTACTAACTTGCAGGTGAATAATTCATCAGCGATGTTTCTTAGCTTATTTTGACAAAATTGAACAAAACTGGCTGCTAAAAGCGAATTAGTATTTCACTTTTTCATTTTCATTAATGATTGAATCAAAAACGTTATATTTTATTTTTTTGTTTATTTCGTAGCTAATGTCCCTTTAAGGATTACAAATATAGAGTTTGTATATGGGCTTTCAGTATTGGTTTTTATAAAAATCATTCCATCACTCCTGTCTAAATCGCCAATAAAAAATAGAAAGAACTGGAATTAAGTAAATATCAGCCTTGAGCATTTGCTTTTCTAAATAAAACCTGCTTATGAAAATATTTGATATGAACAAAGCCATATTTGTTTCCATTTCTGTTATCCCATTATGACTCTGCTTTAGCTTGCAACTAAAGTTGATTAAGAATATTTGATAACTATTTTTTTCTCTGATGTACTTTTTACTGGTCTTATGCTGACGTCTTCAAAATAATAAAAAAAATGATAGAACTGCATATGTGTGTATTTCTATCGTTCCATTTAAGATATGCGACACCGGTTTTAATCACGACCAGTAAAATAATAGGGACAGAGCAATTTGTATTTAACTGACATACTAGTATTACAATTGAAAAAAAGAAAGAAATTTTCAAAAGGTCGTTTTAGTAAACTGAATTAAAGACGAGGAATAATGATGGCATCATACACAATAGAATTGGTCAGTATATTTCCGAGCACAGTTAATGTAAAAATGTTCAGAATCCTGTCTTATTCGTCATAACTATTGCTACTTCAAAAAATAACAGATACCTAGTGAGTCACACATGTCACCAATAAATCCATCAACACAACCAGCTGTACAATTTCCCTCGAGTGTATCACAAGACGTATTGAAGCATCCGTCACAAAGTTCATCGCAATTAAACCCATAATAGCCAGTACTGCATTCTGGAACATAACACAGATATATTAATTTGTTGACTGACATACTGGTATACAAAGACAATAATAAAAAGAGATGTTAGTAGCAACCTGAACTAAAGATGAAAAATAACGTTGCTGTCACACACTCTAGTATTTGTCAGTATACGTCCGACCGCGTTTAATGCATTAGCTAATTCTATCGATCATATGCTATACATTAAACAAATACAATTCAATTCAAATAAATATTGTATTTAAGTCTCATCTCTCAGTAATATATAAGACAACATTACATTAAGTGTAAAGTATAGATATACAATAGAGAGCCATTATGTACAGAATTATAAGAGACTGTAACATTTAACCATTATCAATGATTATAATAATTCGTCTATTATAAAACATATTTATAGGTACATTATGTACAGTTTAAAACATATCTACGTGTATTTCAAATCAGATAACGAACTTTAGCGTAGCTACGAAATATATTTATATCTGTGAATAAAACACTAATTTTTGTTTATCATCAAAAGACATTATATCATTATCAAAGTGTTTTGCTTCATCAAAACATTTCTTTCCATAAAATTATCATATAATGGACACGTTAAAATAACATGGCTTCAACTTCTAAGATATGTTTACAATTATCACAGAAGTAAAAATCATATCTTCTTGTTTCATAGAACTCCTATGTGTTAACAACATTGTAATATGGCGATATGTATCAGTTTTAAAACTGTTCTTAAATAAATTATATGTTGTAAGTTTATCAATGGTATCTATGATGAGTATATTTGTTGCTGTTTTTCCAGATAGAGATTTCTTTCTTACTGTTAATTGCAATGCCACTGATCAACACATTTAACATTCTAGACACAACTATATCAACAATTGAGGTATTATTAAAATATTGTTTGATGTTATACAAACATTCTATATAGTACCCAGTAATTGTTTTCTTTCATAAAAATTCCAATTTTTTGCACACCTGTGTTTTTCGACTCTGCCCATATGAAAAACCTTTCTGTTAAGCCGATCGGAACTCATATTGTTCAAACGGCACCAAAGCAGAAATTAAACATTGCCATTGTTTTGGAAAGATATGCATCCACTCCATTTCCCCTTCAACTACAGCATTTTGAGTATATTTACCAACCCGAACAAAAATCTAGCGTTTCTATAACATGTTTAATGTATGGAATTATAAAAGAAAAATTTGGGAAACCCCAAGTACCAGCACTATATTCAACAAATGGGAGCTTCAAACTTTCACATAGTTTTCAAAAGACATTATGAGTAACACAACATAAATTTTCGCACTCAGCTACAACAAGACTAAATGTCCTATTTGCAGACGCAGCAACCGTTCTAGCAGTTACATTTACTATCTAAAAGTTCACTTAAAACTAGACCTAAATAAGTATAAGAAGTAGAGTATTCGATGATATTATTTCTACATTTATAAACAATATGTGACTTAACAGAAGGTGTCCTAAAATACACAGTGTTACTCTTGTTGGATTTAAAATTTGTACAATCATCTCCATATCACGTATCTAATGTGGTTAAGACAGTTTGTAATTCTGTGTCATCATTTTCTAGAATGAACACATCGTCAGCATGGTAAAATGCAAACTTATTCATCATTAATATCAATAGCACACTCATATGATTTCAAGAACGAAGCTAGGTCTTTTATATACAGATTGAATATTTTAGTGTGTAATGGTCAGTTGTTGGACTACTTAGACCACTCGGTCAACGATGCCCCTTGATCTGTGGAAATATGTGTATAAAATAATGGGTTTTTTTTGTATTTTACAATTAACTGCATTGTGTTTACATACAATATAAATTGTGAAACACATGAAAATATTCTTGGGGTAATTATTTGAAAATAGTAATCGTGCATACATACTTTTTTTAAACCTGTTTATTTACTTTTGACTTTAATTATTTATCCCTTGTAATTTTTTTATTAGCTGTGTATTTGCATTCAGGTGTCACAGGTCAAATTTATTCGTTCATTGTGTGTTAATTTACGTTTTTTGATTGAGTTAAGCCTTCCAATTGATATTTTATAGTGTGTTTTTCTATGTTGTGATGTTATACTATTGTTTCAGAAAAGGGAGAAGGTTTGGTACCATTAAAACGTTTAATCCCGCTGCAAATGTTTGCACCTGTCCTACGTCAGGAATCTGATCACAGTAGTTGTCGTCTGTTTATGAAGTTCATACGTGTTTCTCGTTTCTCGTTTTTATATAGATTAGACCGTTGTTTTTTCCGTTTGAATGGTTTTACACTAGTAATTTTTTGGGTCCCTTTATAGCTTGCTGTTTGGTGTGAGCCAATGCTCCTTGTTGAAGGCCGTACCTTGACCTATAATGGTTTACTTTTATAAATTGTAACTTGGATGGAGAGTTGTCTCATTGGCACTCATACCACATCTTCCTATATCTATATACATATCCCGTGTTTTGTGTTGCGACAAATCTTACACTTTATAAAAAAACACACCGATTCCAATAACAAATACACCGTTAATAATATCAATACAATGCTGGACTTTTCCATTGAAATTATTTGATTTTGGTGTACGAATATTTCAACATATAGCCGAGTGCCAATAGTCACTAATTATGCAACGTCAACTTGATGATTTATCTTTGTACTAATATGTAGCAGAATTCATCGAAAACCTTCTTAAACACAAAAAGAAAACCATCTTGCCAAAGTTTTTAATAAATTTCCCATTTGTGTATGATATAATGTCACTCAAAACCCACATTTTCATCTCGCACTTAGGGAGCTGCTATATAAATTGATTTTTTCCTTTTTATTGACTGAGTTTGACTACTTAGAACTAAAAATAATTTATGACAAACATGATGATTGAGCCTCCCATTGCTAACTATTCATTTCCCGGTATTAAGATTCCACCTGCTTCATCGGGATTGCATATCCTCCTCGGAGGTATCACCAGCCCCGTAGGAATAGATTACCTTACATTTGTAGCTGTAAACCCTTTGGATTTTTGGGTCCTCAATGATCGTCTACTTCGTATTCTAATTAGACCTTTTATACCTTGTTCTTTCGATCGTCACTAACGAGTCTTTTGTAGCGTGGGCGTCTGGCGTACACAAGTTTATTTTTATTTACTTCCCAAAAGTTGATTTTGTTTGAAATGAAATCAACACGACTTAAACGCGGACCGCAATTAGGACCTCAAATTGAACTGTGAATAAACAATAATTTGAATATAACCGTTTGCTCACAACGAAAGCACGATACCAGGAGACTATTAACGTATACTATATGTTTATCGCTTCATGTAATCTGTACACCTGAATTTGTATAGTAAAATGTTCGATTGCAGGACTAACTTATAGAATTATATATGCCAATCCTTGTTTAAACCAAACAAACCATGCATATTTCATTTGCTCGAAGAGTTTGAAAACAATGCAGTATGAGAAAGGTATAGACTGAGTGTAACGTTTTACATGAAAATAAAATGTCTTACGTTCATTACAGAAATCACCTTTCCATCCTTTTTTGCAACCGTCAGTCGAACATTTCCCAGTTGATTTATCACACGGACAGTTACGGCAGTAACACGTATTTGTACAATTGGTTCCGAAACTAAAATCGTCACAGGCTGCAATATAACATTATAAAACTTGTAATTTGCATTTAAATACAGGGGAATAATATCGACGAAAATGAGTAGCTTCTTCAATTATCAACCAAAAGCACCCAGTTTTTTTTAAATATCAAATAATGCTAATATAATTAATAAAGTTATTAGTTACGTTATCTAGTATTGATCAAATCTTTATTTACCATAAACACATGTTTATATATATACTAAGAACATGTTATGTGTTTATATTAGTTCCGATTTAATGGCACATACCCGCACTGTATATTTACTTGTATTTTCAATCTTTGGCTGCTACACATGTAGGCATATTTATCTTATTCACTTAAGGAATAACTGTAATATTTTTTCTGTCAGGCTATGAAGAAATAACATAAAAAATGTGATGCACACTGAATAACCCGCGTAGCGGGTTATTTTAAAGTGTGCATCACATTTTTTATGTTATTTCGAATAGACAGATAAAATATTACAGTTATTTCTTATAATTTAATTCTAAATTCCATTTTAAACAGGAGTAAACAATGAAAAAACGTTGATGACGTCACGGTCACATGACTAAATAATGTCTATGAGCTGATAAACAAAACAACGTCAGCCAATCAGCAGACGCGTTACATCTAAAATTAAATTATGTAAAAATAATCCATAGCTCTACATGACATGCAAGATTCATATAAGCAGGCGTTACTTACTTTTATTACAGTAAAGTCCATACTCATAGCCTGGGTTACATCCAGTAGTATCACTGCAAACACCATAATCAGGAAAACATGTATTTCCAATACAACCACCACAGGACTCAGAACAATCAAATCCAAATTTTCCATTGCTGCATTCTGAAATATGAGTGCAAATTGAACAGATTTTGATGGTTTTTAAAGAACATTTACCGCAAAAATGATGCCCACAGTTTTTAGCTTTACGATAAGAAAATTGTTTAAACAGCATATTGAAACTAAAGTCTAAACAAATATTGTCATTAGGTCATCAACATTTGCAAATGCTGTACGTATTAACGATACTACTACCTCAGAAAGTATAGCTTTTAATCAATGAGACCTGTGTTCGTACAATACAGATGAAGTATAATTTTATGTGTTCAAACGCTTGTGTAATACAAAATTTTCCATCAAGTGAAATATATATCGATATCGTCAGCGATGCTTTGTACTGACGTAAAATGGGAAAATCATTTCGTATAATCATCGAAAATATAGACTTCATTTGGCTGTGTTGTATTTTCTGAATGGTAAAAAACAATCATTGGATCACCAGTATTTTGATATGATTGTTTGTTTATGTTGTTAGCTAAACGTCCATATATAGATATGTCCATGCATTTGTTTGCACCAGTCCTAAGTCAGTGTTCAGTGGTTGTCGTTTATTGATGTGGTTCATAAGTGTTTCTCGTTTCTCGTTTTTTTATATAGATTAGACCGTTGGTTTTCCTGTTTGAATGGTTTTACACTAGTCATTTTTGGGGCCCTTTTTAGCTTGCTGTTAGCCAAGGCTCCGTGTTGAAGGCAGTACTTTGACCTATAATGGTTTACTTTTACAAATTGACTTGGATGGAGAGTTGTCTCATTGGCACACATACCACATCTCCTTATATCTATGTTCATGCATAGTTAGGACGATACCTGGTGTTTATAAAATATTTTCCATAATTTCATTTTAATATAACAGACCTTTTGTGCAATTGAATCCCTCCCATCCTCTAATACATCCTCCTTTACATGCTCCTGTTTCATGATCACAGGGTGTAGATAAACAGTTTTTTGAACAGTCTCGAAGACACTGACCTCCAAATGAACCAGCCTTACAAACTGTCAGATAAGATAATAGTTGTAATGTTTATATAATTTAATGTGACTGCTATTAATTCCGCGTTAACATGTTATTCCGAAGTATCCATCATAAAACATGCTCATCAATAAAAAAATTGACAAGCTAAACATACTCTTACTTGTAATTCAATGTATTGTCAAACAGATAGTATGCATCTGACAGATTGTTAAGTGGTCACATGTTTTAACTAATATTAGAAATTTTTAATTGATGTTTATATTAGTGTTTCATGTTCTGTCCGACTCGGCTTCTGTCAAAATCCATTATTTATTTAGGTGGACAATACACCTTTTATTACTAGATTTATGATGTATGTGGTAGAGACAACATTTTCTTAACCGTCTCATGAACTTGGTGCACGTGTTAATTTTCAATCTTTGTCAGGCTTTTCAGTCAGTTGCTTTAATAAGTTAGTAGCAGTAGCAGTGCAAAAATTCAAATCGATTTCACAACTTTTCACAACTTCGTAAAATGCCACCAGTTCGTAAAAAGCGTGTTTCCAGTAAGAAAAGTAAGAAAAGTGACACACCAGTTGTACAGAATTCCAGTAATACGGAATTGACATTTGACGAAGTTAAAGAAAAACTAAGGAAGCAAGGCATCAGGGCTCCATCAACTTTCACCAAAGAGCAGTTATTGGAACTACTAAATGAGAATACAGGACAGGATAATGCAATTATGCCCGAAATTTCAGCATTAACTCAACTTACCACCAGTCTAAACAACATGGAGCAAACTGTTCAAGGTACTTTTATTCAGTCGCTTTTAGTTCGAGAATCAAATAGCATTAGTCAACCTGCAGTCGTTAGTGATATAAGTAATGGAGTACATCATTATGGAACGCCAACACTGTCTTGTTAAGACCATTTTCATTATATGATGTGCATTTACCTTTATATGATGTGCACTTGTTATTATATGATGTGCACTTGTCATTATATGATGTGCACTTGTCATTATATGATGTGCAAACACCTTTATATGATGTGCAAGTATCCTTATATTATGTGCACGTATCCTTATATGATGTGCAAACATACTTATATGATGTGCATATATACTTATATGATGTGCAAACATTCTTATATGATGTGCAAACATTCTTATATGATGTTCAAACATTCTTATATGATGTGTAAATATCCTTATATGATGTGCAAATACATTTATATGATGTGCAAATGTACTTATATGATGTGCAAAGATACTTATATGATGTGCAAATATACTTATATGATGTGTAATATACTTATATGATGTGCATTTTCCATTATATTATGTACAAACATCTTTATATGATGTGGTTGTGTCATTATATTATGTGCTTGTAACCTTATATGATGTGGTTTGGTTTACTTCATTATATGATGTCGAAACGTCATTATATGATGTGCTTTCATCGTCGTTATGATCAATGAACATGATTACGATTAGAAAGATTACTGTCTACGTCATAAATGATTCCGATCTGCTTCTGCGGAATTACTATTAACCCGGCTCAAATCTGTAGCTATCGTTTGGAAAATGGTTGAGATTTAAAAAGAGATAAACCTTGGCATGTTGGTACCTCGTTTCAAGATGTAAAAAATCACATCTGATATTGTGGAAAATTGTCAAAATATAAATTGCAAAGTTTAGTTTTAACGATGGGTCTACAATAATGAACATACGGAGTCTACAATAATGAACATACGGTTGAAGTTATTAAATTTAAGAAATAATTCTTTTATCCTATGCTCTATGCTCATTTTAACAAGGGTAGGCATTATATTTGTCAATATCTTTATACCTAGCGTTAGCGCTTTTTCTATAAGAAGTTAATACATGAATTTCCAGTATGTTCATTTTGTAAATTTTGCCTTGCTGATCATTTTAGCTGTTCAAGTTTCTCTTTATATATTACTGTTCTCAAGATAGACACACAAAATGGGCAAAAATGGGAAATTGATAGGATAATGGCTCATATAAGGGACCGGTCTTTTGTAACCCCAAAAAGAGGGGATAGGAAGAAATAAAGGGGGCCTTTAATTTTATTATTTTTGGAATAGAAAGCGGTATTCAATTTTTTATAGCTATAGATTTGCCGCCGTATAATGTCATGGCGATGTCTTCGTCATCCGTAGACATCAATTTTTACGCCTCGTTTCTCTAAATCCTTAGTTTCAACAATTTCTTCTAGCAAAGTATTTTTCATCTGAAGCTAATATTGAATGAAGGTGTGGTCAATATCAATGAGACCATAACCGGCATATCCAAGTTAAGTTCCCTGAAGTCGCAATCAACTTCCACACTTGAAGTTCTAGATCCACTACTGACGTAATATTTTAAACTTGCAATGCAATAGAAACTTAATGCGTTGTTTTTTTGTTTGTTATTACGTACAAAAGTATAGAAATATAGAAAATGTGTGTGTGTGTTTGTGTGTGGTTGTTCGGTGGTGGCTTTTTTTTTTTGGGGGGGGGGGGGGGGGTAAGGGGGGGGGGATGAAATGCTTATGTCTTTGGAAAGGGGGGTCTTGATTGTTTTTCCTTCTTCAAGGTGTGGACTTGAAAAAAAAAAAAGAGAAATTCCAATGTTTCCTCCCACGTCCCCTACCCCAATGAAAGAAAATGACCATACTTATATTTTTTTTATTTTTAAATCTGTTCTTGTTTATAACATTTTGCAAGGAGAGGTATCTCTATAGATAAGTTATCAAGATAATTGGCAATAAAACTACAAAACTCTTAAAGAGCCAAAATTGCCCAAATGGGAACTTTACTATAGAGTATATTCAGACACATTGCACTATTTATTTTTTTTTTAATCTATTGAAGTTTCCAGGATAAAAAATATCAAAAGCCGCTGCCGTAAATCTTCACTTAGAAAAATTTAAAACACAACTCTCTATCTGTAAGAGACCAACAGATCTCAGAAAACAATAAATAAATGCAGTTTTTTATGTTCATTTAGATACCAATCTGATTAAATTACAGATATTGTGTGTTCAAGCTTTGCTTACGCCGATCTGAAAACGCTCCATTCTATTTTCTGTTTTAAAGACCATTGGGATTCTCTTGTTTTGTCGGATAGATCCACACCTTCAAAAATATGAAGGCTGAAATTTCATTGGCTGATGTAATATTTACCAGAACAGAAAGTAAAATGAAGTGTTGTCAGTTCCTTGTAACTAAAGCTTAGACAGATGATCTGTACATTTGTATCTTAATCAAATTGGTTAGGCACCGACTCTTCATCTAGTGTGGGCAGGAGCACGTGTATTTCCTTGTGCTCAGGACAAACAAATTTTTCGACTTTAATAAAAAATAACATGGTTATTTTTTTTTTTATTTCATTATTGTTTTATTTTTCCCTCATTTTAAATGGAAACAAACTACTTCGCTTCCCTTCTTAAATAGATAAAATCTCTTTCAAGAAATTTGGAATCAAACATTTACAAAAAAACATGCCCCCACTCACCAAAAAAAAATTGTTGGTACGTTAGCCCTGTTTACTTGAGTCTGGAGGTGTATATATGAGCGGCTTCCCACGAAACCTTTTATATTGCGGGTTACTGTCTAGTGGCGGTGTTTTCGTGGTAGCATGTTCGCCTCGAGTGCGGGGGGTCGTGGGTTTGAACCCCGGCCGGATCAAAACCAAAGACTTTAAAATTGATATTTGCTGCTTCCCTGCTAAGCACGCGAAATTAAGGAGTAAGAGCAAAGGCTGGTCGGCTCGGAATCAGAATAATGTGTCCGGTAACGTGATATGTCTTCCTTCGGACTGTTACCTTGTGAACTAGCATGTTAAAAATTCGGCACAGAGTGTCGGTCTAGTACAAAGCGGGGTTAATATTCATATCTCATTAACATGTTCTCGTACGAATATGCATATCAATTTGCCGCTGGACGTCAAGCATCCATCCATAATCATCTAGTTGAAGCTGTGAAATATATGCATGAAAATATAATAAAAAGCTGCACACAAATGTAATGCACCGAGTTGAAGTTCATTCCATTTCGGGGGAGGGGGCGGCTCGGTGGTCGAGTGGTCGAACTACTGTATCGCTAGCCTGTCAACACTTAGGTTGTGAGTTCGAATCCCGCACGTGGCAGGTAAGCTCGACTCCAATCTTAATTGACTAGAATTGTCAGTTTTCCTACCAAAGGTCGGTGGTTCTCTCCGGGCACTTCGGCTTCCTTCACCAATATAAACTCACCGCGACGAAATAGCATGAAAGTGTTGAAAGTGGCATTAAACAACAATCAATCGCCAAATTAATCAATCAATCATCCATACTGGTATCATTATGGCTTCTATATCTATATCTTTATTCTCATAAAGCCAATGCATGACATCAGTACAGAGATAACAACAATAACTATTTACAATATATACAAAACAAGGGAGAGAGGTTACAAAAGTCACTAGCCAAGAGGACAAACACACGTGTTTATATTTTTTTATAAATCAACAAAGCTTCTTCAGGACTGATTTTCGAGTACTCGACATAAGTTCAGAGAATTTAACTGTATTATGTCGTTGTACAAAATAGGATGATAAATACTCTTTATGTTTTTGGTCTAAAAAAGCACATTCAAATATATAGTGACATTCGTCTCCAATTTGTCGATTGTTACATTGATGGCAAAAACGGTTTTCTCTTAATACGTTTTGCCACCTTCCTGTTTCAATCGGCAATTTGTTATTAGTCGTTCGAAATCGACAGAGAACAACGGCATCTTTAATGTTCAAAATATTTAAATACTCCTCAAATTCCCGGTTTTTCTTAAAAATTTTGTAGTTAATAGCTTTTGACGAATTTTGGATTAGCGAATTCCAATTCTGAAGAAACTGGTCTAACAATCTTTGCTTTATAACAGTTTTTAACCAATCTTTATTAATGAAATTCTGAGTTTCCCATATATATGAGAAACCACAATTTTGAAATATTTTTTTGACAAACAGAATCCATGGAGTCTGCATGTTATGATGACCG